GTCCCATGACGCTGCACTTCACGACGCTACGGCTCCTGACGTCACCGTGCAGCCTGCCAATGACGCGACGCAGCTCATGACGTTCCTGGACCACATTGCGACACCGACCGATGACGTCACCGGCTCCTACAGCAGCAGGCCGGCGGCGCGGGCCCGGCTCATGACGTCACTGCGCGCCACGTAGCCGCCGCACATGACGCGCCGCCCGGTAAAGGCGGCCCGGCCGTGCAGCACGCGCCAGTTGTCGATGAAGAGCACGGTGCCGGGCGTCAGGCGGAGCCGGCGTTCCAGGCGCGGGCTGAGCAGCGTCTCGGCCAGCCGCTGGTACGCCCGGTAGAAGGGCTCGAGCCGCGCCGGCGGCAGGTGGCGCGCCGGCGCCCGGTCGTACGGGTTGAAGCGGAGGCGGCGAGCCAGCTCGGGCCGCGGCTGGCCGCCGGCGCGGTGCGCGATGACGGCGCGCCCGCCGGCCAGGTGGACGCGGCGGCCCGGGTCGCGGTACTCGCCGGCGCACGGCTCGGTCGAGAGCAGCTGGTAGGCGGCCGGGTCGGCGGCGTGCAGCCGCTGCAGGCCGGCGAAGCCGTCCACCAGCGTCGTCTCGCCACCGGTGCCGTCGTGGTGCAGGCAGTGGAACACCTGCACTCTGCGCAGGCATGGTGTGCGGTCAGACGGAATACTTGCAGCTAGTTTTGAAGCGAATGGAGAAAAAGGGACCGATCAGAGCGTGGAGTGGAGTTTAGAATAGCGGAGCGGAGATAAAAACGGTGGAATCTCTGCACCATTGGTTCACTTACCATGCATCCGTTGTCGTATGACTGGTAGCAATTCATCCGTTTACCATGCACCCATGCAATGTAACACCTTGCCGGCGGAGTTCACTAAAATGCCTGCGCTGCTTAAACCAGAAACGACACGTGACCCGACTTAGCCTCCATACTTTGTTTGTAGTAGCCACTCGATGTGCCACGTTATGGTTGTCTTCGCATGCCAGTTACAAGGAATTTTGGAAGCCTGATATAACCACGAAAGATCTAGAGTTCCTGGTCTTTCAGCACTATGAGTTTCGCGTTCCTATGCTACCAATGGACCTTCAACACACCAGCCGATGTCGATTAAACGATGTTACGAAGCAAGCATCAGTTATGTTGTCAAAACTCGAAGCTTCAAGCTGTGGTGAAGATCACTCACGATTATGACCACCGCTTAAAGTTTCGAGGCCTAACAATATGGACAATGTTTCCTAGGTAACGTCGTTTTTACAGTATTTCCTGGTACACTGAAAGTCAGCTTTTGTGACCGGAGCTCAAAACTTATATGTTAAAACGCTTCCTTTCATGTCGCTATACTGCACGAGCATACCTGTGGGTGCCTTCAAGTCATTCTAACGCACGAGCATGCTTGTTTAATGCCACGCCCTCGCGGTCTGTATTGACTTCGGATCATATATATATATATATATATATATATATATATATATATATATATATATATATATATATAAATGGGCAGACAGCGGTGACCCCGCTCACCGGGCGAGTTAGGGAATGATTTGTCATGTTAATGACACTATGAACAGCATAAGCTCTAACGCGGCCTCCTGCGGCTTATATTCAAATTAGACAACACTTCGCGGTTATGGGTGCTGGGCGTAATATCGTGGGATTGGCCGACATTAAGGCATATATATTGCATGCCATGAACAACAAATTTACAAAGTTTGTCACCGCCTAGAGCCCATTGTGGCCAGTCGCCGCCCACAGTTCCTGAATGTAGGCTGGGCTCCAGCGAGCCGAGGTTCTGTGTCGCATCAGCATGGCATTGCTTCGCCGAGGTGACGAATATAGTTATCACCGATGGGTGAACAAAACCGCTGGTCGAAACCACTGAAGGGGAACACAAACGTGCGGGGCACCCTGATCTCATACGTGACCGACACATTAGCACTTTTCTGTTTTCGTTAGTGGGCTGCCAGCATACGAGCTGGACAACTTCGCGAGGCAGGCAAGCCAGGGTTCGGTTCGCAGTAGAGCCGACTTTCATTGCAGAGTACAGTAATGACCTCTTCACGGCTGCGGGTTTAAAGAGACTGGTGAGCAGTGGGGCAAGACTGCGACCATCCCGAGAGGCCCTCTCCAACACGCCTCACCCCGCACAGAACCCCGCCCCTGTGGCTCACGCGGGTCGTCTTGCGGGGCTCCCGCACTAGAGCGACTGTAACGGCAGCCCGCGGCTCGCCCGCCGCATGTCCCGATGTAACGGGGCAGTGCGAGGATCCAGGACGAGGCGGTGAATAAGTAAACGTGTCAGAAAAGCGGGCCGGACAGACTGGACGTTTCGCTCATTCAGCGCCAACGTACCGCCTCAGCTAGGCACAGCATACCCAGGCGCTCACCAGGCTCGGCATGGGCCCATTAGGATGTCATATGCCGCACTCAACCGCCTCGGCACGACAACAGACAAACTCAGACGACTTAGGGTCACGAAAGACAGGCCGAGACGACTCAGAATGGCACAAGATATGCTCGGGAAGCTGAGCGCGTCGCAGGACTTGTCCAGGTGCCAAAGGAACCCTGGCTGGGCGCGTCACGACGTCACGTGACACGCCATGGCGCTCCGGCGCCACGTAAACCGAGCTCAGGCGAGAAGTGGTGAGACAAATTACTCAGGACAGCATCCGTCTCCCGGACAGTTCATGATGCCACCCGCGGACGGATATCATTGCCACCCCCGGACGGATATCATGCCACCCCCGGACGGATATCATGCCACCCCTGGCGGATATTATGCCATCCCCGGACGGATATCATGCCACCCCCGGACGGATATCGTGCCACCCCTGGGCGGATATTATGCCATCCCGGACGGATATCATGCCACCCCGGACGGATATCATGCCATCCCGGACGGATATCATGCCACCCCCCGGACGGATATCATGCCACTCCCGGACGGATATAACGCCATCCCCGGACAGCTCATCATGCCACCCCCGGAACGGATATCATGCCACCCCCGGACAGCTCATCATGCCACCCCCGGACGGATATCATGCCACCCCCGGACGGATATCATGCCACCCCCGGACGGATATAACGCCATCCCCGGACAGCTCATCATGCCAACCCGGTCAGTTCATCATGCCACCCCCGGACGGATATCATACCACCCCCGGACTGATATCATGCCGCCCCCGGTCAGCTCATCATGCCACCCACGGACGGATATCGTGCCGCCCTCGGACGGATATCGTGCCACCTCCGGACAGCTCATCATGCCACCCGCGGACGGCCGCGCGGGACGTACCCGGGCGGCTCGGTGTAGTAGGTGCCGTCCGTGTGCACGCTCAGCGCCTGCTGCGTGTAGGCCGTGTCGGCGTGGGCGCCGTCGGCGCTGAACTGCCACACGTCGCCGAAGATCGTGTTCTGCACCGCGCCCACGCGCTCGATCACCCGGCGGGTGGCCTCCAGCGACGCCGACACCTGGCGGCGCGGCGGGCAACTGTGTGTCAGCTGGCCCGCTTAAATAGAAAGTCCACTCTTAGAGAGGTTGTATTTAAAGCTACATGTATACGACTTGAAATACCATACAAAAAGGCAACTATACCTAGTTATCGCGCGTCTGAAAGTGGTTTTCTTTGCCCTTGTTCTTTCCGTAATGCGCCATTCGTCTCCAGTCTAGCCTCACACAGGCCGGTATCGCTCCACCCGGCCAAACCACGTCCTTCGCAGACCTCGACACATCGGGGCGTGACGTTGGACAGCCCGCTCGACGGCCGACTCCTGCCGGCTGCGCTCAATTCACACAGCAATAAGCGCGGCTCACCCGGACGCCGTCAGGGCGATGTTCGGACCGGCAGCCAGTCAACAACACGCCAGCGCCAATACTATCCCATTCCCCCGGCTCAAAGCTGGGAGCCATCGAACCGCGGGCTACGCTGCAGATGAAGGAAAATAGACAATCTGATGTTTTCCTAAGCTCACAACAAGCATCCCGAGGTCGGGCGACATTAGCACTTCTTTGTCCAGCTGAAAGGTTGAATTACTGAGTGTTATCCCCTCGATACGCTGCGTTACTCCTTTAATATATAGCTTTGCTACGACGCAATAAACTTAGTTTGGTCCACTATAATGTTAGTAAAGCGGACCAAATTCTTATAACTTAAGTCCACTTTGGCGGCCTTATATCGCTCCCATGCAGTTTTGGCGAGTGATTGATCAAGAAGCCTGGTGAGAAAACGTATGCATTATTCCCCGGATGCCTATCTGGTTATTCATTTGAAAATGAAAAGACCTGGAGGCAGGGGGCACTGGAAAGATCCCACAGCATTCCGCCAAACTTCGCGCAACTTAAAACAAAGACCCATCGCGAGGCTGTGGAGCTATAGCGGACGAACGGACCGGCCACACTAAAACACTGCCACAACTTTGATGAGCCTCAGATCTCCGGCACCTTAGCACGTACAGCGGGCACCATGGCCGCACCAAAGGCAATTTTTCCACTAAAACGCCCAAAGCCTGTGCGGGTTGCACGCAATTTGGACCCTATTAGCGGATACATCCTCGTTTCCAGAGCACACCAGCCGGGCGAGCGACGGCTGCGTTACAACGTGTACCGTGCGGCACCGCCGGCCACGGGGCCGCCCGCCGTTGTTGCTTTTCTGAGAAACGGCGACACGAGACAGGTCGATCCCCTCCCACTGGTCCTCCGGGGACTCACGCGCCCGGGTCCGGGTACGGAGCTCGTCCGTGTTTCATCACACCACACCCGCTGCGTCCTTGCACCATATGTTAATATGGTGTGTCTTACTGAGATATGACACAATGAAACCGGTGTAACGAGATCAGCGAAACTCGCGTATGCATGACGGTCCACAGAAAGTCGCCTCTACGTCGCACTTGAGTTCGCGGAAGTCGGTATAATTCACCCAACTTCCCTCATGAATATATGCGTGCGGAGTTGACGCAGCCTGACAAATCGCTGTACTTAGCACGTCTGGAGCCTATTCGTCATGGTTATACGCATGCATGCACTGCGACATGACACGGTTGTCACCCACCAAAGGTTCCGCGCCCTCATGCAACCACGTGTCAGAGGCATTGGGCTAATGCGCGGGGCAGTGGGCTGTCAAATGCACCACATAACACGTCAGTTGTCTTCGGTCTCTCATGTTTGCTTTCTGGCCGACACCATGCATAAGCGATACTGTATCACCGGGACCTCGGGCCGCGCATATTTTACGAGTTTGTACTCCGAGCTTTAAAAGTATTTGAAAGTGTAAGGAGTTTTAGGAGTTGTAGAAGTTGTCTGTTCACACGAAACATATGTTGGCCCATGAATTTCCACCATGGAGGTAGGAATATTGGCGACTCTAGGGATGGAAAAACAATTTAAATAGGTGTCCGGCCGATTCCCACGTTGAGACTCATCTTAGGATGATGATGAAGGATAAACCTAATGGCCCAGACCGCGAGAAATGGCACATCTGCCGGAAAAGACGGGATATCGGTCGGAAGGTTGGCCAGTCATATTTTAACGACAAATGAGAACGAACAATCTGTTAGTCACCCAAAACAGTCATCCACCGCACTGATGCTGGTTACCCACCCGAGTGAAGGCAATCACTCACTCCTGTTGACAATAATCACCTTCCACAGAGACAGAGTCGCACAGTTCAGTGACGGTGGTCACTTACTTTCGTGATGGTGCACACTCACCCCAGTGAAAGCGACCGCCACCCCAGTCACAGTGACCACCACCACCAACCAACCCCAGTGACGGTGACCATCCACCCCAGTGACGGTGGCCACTCACCGCAGCAACAGTGACCACTCATCCCAGTGACGGTGACCACTCATCCCCAGTGACAGTAACAACTCAGCCCCAAGTGACAGTGACCACTCACCCCAGTGACAGTAACCACTCACCCCAGTGACGGTGACCACTCACCCCAGTGACAGTGACCACGCCGTGCGTGAGGAAGCCCTTCAGCATCTGGCGCACACCAGCCTCATCCTGCATGAACTGGTCGTGGTGGACAGTGGGCAGGTCCTCACGAGCCGCCGTCCGCGCGTCCCACAGACACCTGCCGATCGGGGGGGAGGAGGGGGGGGGGATCAGACCGCGGCGCCGTGACAGCTCCGTCACGCTGGCGAGCAGCCCTGCTGTACAGCTCCGTCACGCTGGCGAGCAGCCCTGCTGTACAGCTCCGTCACGCTGGCGAGCAGCCCTGCTGTACAGCTCCGTCACGCTGGCGAACAGCCCGGCTGCACAGCTCCAGTCAGGGCCACACCGGCGCTGACAGGCAGCCATCAGCTGTCCGTCAGCGCCACCAGCTCCGGACGCGGCGGCGCTCAACGTGACAGAGGGTGGGCAACCTTCACAGCGTGTCACACCAGCGGCACGTGACACCCTCCCAGCCGTAACGTCAGTGGCACGTCACACCAGCGGCGCGTTACACTCTTCCAGCTCGTCACAATGTCCAACCCGTCACACCAACGGAGAGCCACATCCCCGAGCCCGTCACGCCATCGGCGCGTCGCGCCCTTCCAGCGCGTCATGCCCTCAGTGCATCACATCAGCGGCGCGCCATACCCTCCCAGGGCGCCCCCCCCCCCCCCCCCCCCAGCCGTCACGGCAGCAGACAGCCACACCCTCCCAACCGTCACACCAACGGCGCATTACACCAGCTGCGCGTCCCACCAGCAGCGCGTTACACCAGCTGCGCGTCACACCAGCAGCGCGTTACACCAGCTGAGCGTCACACCAGCAGCGCGTCACGCCCTTCCAGTGCGTCACACCCTCCCAGCCGTCACACGCTGCCAAAGGGTCACACCCTCCCAGCGCGCCACGCCAGCGGCGCGTTACACTCTCCCAGCTCGTCACAAACGTCCAACCCGTCACAACCAACGGAGCGCCCCCCCCCCCCCCGAGCCCGCCTCGCCATCGGCGTGTCGCGCCCTTCCAGCGCGTCATACCCTCAGCGCATCACACCAGCGGCGCGCCATACCTTCCCAGAGCGGCACACTCTCCCAGCCGTCACAACAGCAGACCGCCACACTCTCCCAGCGCGGTACACCCTCCCAGCCGTCACAACAGCAGACCGCCACACCTTCCCAGCGCGGTACACCCTCCCAGCCGTCACAACAGCAGACCGCCACACCTTCCCAGCGCGGTACACCCTCCCCAGCCGTCACAACAGCAGACCGCCCACCTTCCAGCGCTGTACACCCTCCCAGCCGTCACAACAGCAGACCGCCACACCTTCCCAGCGCGGTACACCCTCCCAGCCGTCACAACAGCGACTCACCAAACAAGCGGCGCGTCCACACCATTCCAGTGCGTCACATCAGCGGCGCGTTCACGCCCCTCCCAGCCCGTCTCACCAGCGGATCGTCACACCCTCCCAGCCCGTCTCACCAGCGGATCGTCACACCCTCCCAACTGTCACACGAGAGGCGCGTCACGCCCTCCCAGCGGTCATACCAGCGGCGTGTCACGCCCTCCCAGCGGTCATACCAGCGGCGCGTCACGCCCTCCCAGCGGTCATACCAGCGGCGCGTCACGCCCTCCCAGCGGTCACACCAGCGGCGCGTCACGCCCTCCCAGCGGTCATACCAGCGGCGCGTCACGCCCTCCCAGCGGTCACATCAGCGGCGCGTCACGCCCTCCCAGCGGTCACACCAGCGGCGCGTCACGCCCTCCCAGCGGTCATACCAGCGGCGCGTCACGCCCTCCCAGCGGTCACACCAGCGGCGCGTCACGCCCTCCCAACGGCCACACCATCGGCGCGTCACGCCCTCCCAGCGGTCATACCAGCGCCGCGCGTTTTCAATCCATTGCACGCCTCTGAGATCTGGCCGTGCCGGGCGTCGTCATGGCAGAGCGGCCGCAGCGGGCGTTCCGGATGAGCAATGGGCCCCGCTCATCTGGGGTCACGTAACACTCGGACCAGTTCAATTAGCCGGCCCAAGCCCGGCACGTCCGGCGGTGCGGCGGAAACAAACGGCGTCCCGGGGGGCCTGGCTGTGTGTCAGGGCTCGTCCAACATGTCAAAATTAGTCCCATTTTTCACTCAAGGCTAGTCCCCGCCTGAACTTATTGTTTCGATGTAGGCACCGGCGGCGCTTCACGCGCTACAAGGGCAAAACTGCAATGTGCTGGGCTGGAAGGAGAGACGATAAATTGGTTGCCACCACCCAGCTTCAGCGAAGCTTTTCTTCTGATTTAAGCGAGCACATGCTTCAGTATTGGAAGCGCAATGATGACATTTTGGCTGGCAACAGCCAGGCAGGGGGGATTCGGGGAGGGGAAGGAGGTGAGGTGGGTGGGACGCCTCACCTCTTCCAGACCCTGTCCTGCTGCATCTGCCGGTACTTCTGACTAATGTAGCTGTTTTCCCAGAGCCACTGAAGACTGTACTTCGACTCATGTCCGTCGTGCCCTGCGGCGAGGTCGGTCAGGTTACGAGGCCGCGACTGAGATCCGCATGGCCATGCTTCATTCAGTCGCCCTGTTCCCTCGCGCCGTCAACACGTCTTCGCTTCACTTCGTCACATTTCACCCAGCGCAGGGAAGACGGGGCGCATAAAAGTGGAGCTGGCGCTAGACACACGCGGCACTGGCCTCTTCGCTGGTCGTTGTGAGGCCAAGCCTCGGGGACCAGCAGTCAACTCTGCCGTTATGAAGTGTTCGGCGCCAAAGTGCCGCTTTACGGGCCTCTCAAACTTTTATAGCCATAGCCGGAGGGTAGAAATAAACGGCAGGTCAGAATACCCGTCCTGCGCCAAAACATGGGGATTGACGCTTTGTGGGCTGGTCATGCCCGATCTGCGGTTGCCACAGCATTGGGAAATGCTTCCAGGACGTCTTCTAGCGCTTGTTTGTACCTTACAAGTTTTGGGACCGAACCAGGGTGCGATCACTCAGGGCGCTGGTTTGATGCATGCATTTTCTGTTCTGTATAAGAGTACATGAAACCAGACCGGACCGGAAAACGTCATGTAGGGTCCCTAACCAGCCATCGCAGACAAGCTGGGTCTGACGTCGCCAGGTATTTACTATTCGATACACCTGCGTCTCTCGAATACCACAGGCGACAGGAGCCCAAAAGTCCACCAGCAACACTCTACAACAGACCTCGCGTTCGCCTCGGACGCCCTACGGTACACAGAATGCACCGCACAGACCCCACAGCGGAGTCAAAGGTTTACAGTCGCTGACATCTCGCATTAGCCCACAGGCCACCAATAACATGGTGGGCGGTATTCCATGGTGAGCGCGCAGCGACCACACCGACGTCTGTGGATTTCAGTCCTATTTGAAAACCCGCAGTAGAGACTATCCGTCCCGACAGCCTTGCCACATCAAGTACTGCTGTCATCCACCCACCCCCACCCCTTCCCCGGCGAGCAACGACCCCGCTCTGGCTGGCCAGCAAACCACTATTGCCACGTGGCGGCACAGTGAGCGCGACCGGAATGTCCAGTGCGTCTGGCAGCCGTTAGATGGCGCACGCAGCCCCCACATCGCACCGGCCAGTAAACCCGCTAATCTCCAGACACTCCAAGTCACCCAACTCTCACCTCATCCACGCTAAAACCTGTTTATGAGAACGCCTACCGACAGGTACCCTGCCCTTCGTTATAGCAACAGACATCAAACGCGAGAGGCTGAAGCGCGAGGTCCCGCCTGCTCCAGTGAACCTGTGCGAGGTGATGCGTCCCGCGGATGTAATGTCTGGCTCGACTCACAGGTGATGGTGATGGAGGTCCCGCTCTGGTCGACGGCGAACTGACTGGGGTGCACGTCAAACACCAGGTCACGTACATCGGTCTGGAATGAAGGACGTGCGAGTTGACGGACGATGACGAGGCGTGGCGGTAACATGGTGCGAGCATTTGTGTGCATAAGTCGTGCAAAAGGAACGAGAGAAAGTCATGGCATTTCGCGGATGGCTCCAATGACGAGAAACCTCTTTCATTTGATCTTTTCTTGCTCATGGCGGGCCATGTGCACTTTGCTGTAAAGTTCAACGTCTAAGCTCGCCGTATCATGGGGGATCCAAGCCAGCTTTTGACTCAGAGCACAGGCGCGCCCGAGTCACACGAAAAAAACTTGTGTCTGCCACGCCTGACAGTGTCAACATCTGGCTGACTGACAACTGGCCAACAGTGTCTCACCATTCTGCCGCATTGGATACCCGTCCCCGATCGTTACTGCTTCCCACTGCTCGAGCATTCGCTCGCGCGATGGCCCGTCTCCACGATGCCCGGCCTTCGAGCGGCGCCAGGCTGGCCCTCTCGGTTCCAGAGCGCCCATGTCAAAACGGCCTGCTGCAGCTCCCGAGTGGCCGTTCCGGGCAGCGCCACTGCCGCCCGCGCCGGTCTGTCCCACAGTCCCGAGGGCATCCGGCTCGGGTCTGTCCTTGTGTGTATATTACGGTGTTTATCAGAGCCTAAACAGGAACATGCCGGGCGGGACGGACGGCTCGCCGCTGTCTCGGCGCCGGTCGCGCCTCAAAACGACGCGGCAGCTACCAGGAATCGGCCCACGGCAGCACGTGCTTGGAATGACATACATTGGGGCATACATGGCCTGTTAGCCAATTATCACCTGACTGGTAACCGTCGTCAAAAAAGACTCCAGCCGAAAACATCTGCATGAATCAACTTGCACTGGCATTTGTTGAGAACGGCAGTTACCAGCGGGACGCATCGCCCGCCGGCATTTTGAAGTGAAGGTTTTATTACAGCGAAATCACGAAAAATTGATAAGCGAAAACGAACACTGCCGGTAAACTAAAAGGTTTATCGGCAGTGACAAAAATATTCTGAACTGTCCCGATCGTTGCCAAGCAGACGTAAACTCTGCATTTTACCAGAAAGTGTGCAAAATACAAAGCATGTTTACAGCTATTGTGGAAGGAGCGAGGCTTTCAAAAAAGGATAGTTCACTTTGACCTTGTCCCTTCATCACTCATCCTCTTATAACCCTTACATTTCACCCTGATCGAAGTTTAAAGGACGACCCTGTTAAAAGGGCAAAGTGGTAAAACAAGAAATTTCTATGGAATGTGTGTCTACGTCAGCTCTAGTGAAAGGTCTGATATAAACACGAATGCTTAAAAAACACTATTTGAGGAATCTAGTGTGAAACCAGACAAGGTCCGCAAAACTGGTGATGGCACAAAGCGGTCTAAGACACTGAGAATGCCCTCTGGGATCGAGCAGGCCGTGGGTACGCTTACCCGGATATCTGGCACACTCAGTTCTAAAAACGCACAAATGTTATCCCTGTTACGGCCCGCTTATCAACAAGGAGGCTTCTTGAGCGTGCACAGACCAGAGTGGGGGAAAGGTGGAGGAGGCTTCCCGGGCCCATGTAGAGGCGGATCCGGGTGGAGGAAGGCTGGAGGTTTTCCGGGTCCAACGACCAAGGTCCACGTATAGGTACCAACCCCACGAGAATGTGGAGGGATTCAGCTCGAACAACGACAACGTCCTGTAATCCTTCACGGAGTTGCAGAACAGTGAAAGGCTGGTCTACTCCTCGTACGGGATCATCGTCCTCCCCGAAGGACATATGCCGCAGTTTCAAGTGGCTGGTCAAAGGCAAGGGCATCAAATGCGACTTGTTTGGCTGTACCAGTCCTAAAGAGCCCTTCCAGAAGGTCACAGTAACCCTGAGAGGACGGGCGGCCGGCTGGGCCACTTGTCCTGCGTCGCAGCTTCAGTTTCCTGAATGGAGCACTCAGGGCGATGGCTGGCGCCGCGTCCAGCGCAGTTCCGGCAAGCCGCTGGGTCACGGTTAAGTGCGTAACAAGAGGAAAGGTGAAGGATACACACATGAAGGATACTCATCGTGGAAAATTTGAACATGTAGAGGTCATCTAAAAATGAGATGTTGTAATTAATCGCGATTGGTTACATATAGAACGCCGAGCCGAATGTAAGAACCCCTACATCTTAACAACATCAGTGAATGAAAACAAGTTTCACTACACCCTTTCCGTGATATCACTTCACGAGAATTTTGCTCGGCTCCTCAGTGTAAATGCCAAAGAATTGTGATAGCCGAGTTTGCCGATCTGAGGCCCACTGTGTAATGTGACCAATTTTGCGCGCCAAGTTCCGTAGCAGAGAAGTCTAGGGTCCAGGCAATTTTGCCCATTCCGTTCTTAATTCTCAATCCTCAATTTCGTTCTCCGAGCATTTCGTCCGTGATGATGTGTGGGGCAAGTCTCGGGATTGAAGTCTGGACTGCCCTAGACCTGCCAATAGCATCACTTCAGCCCACCCCGGCCCCCGACCCGTTCCCAGCGACCGAACGGGTCCCTGGCCTTTCCCCGGAATAAGCCACGGCCGCAGTTCCAGTCACAGTCCCCGTCCCAATGTCAGTGCTAGAGCCGGGTGCCCGGCTCAGTCCCTTAGTCCTGCCGGACGCTCGCCCGGTCCCACTCCTGGGCCAATGTCGCTTTGGGTCCCAGTCCCTTAGTCCTGCCGGACGCCCGCCCGGTCCCACTCCTGGGCCAGTGCCGGTCTGGGTCCCAGTCCCTTAGTCCTGCCGGGCGCCCGCCCGGTCCCACTCCCGGGCCAGTGCCGGTATGGGTCCCAGTCCCTTAGTTCACCGGCCAATGCCGGCCTCAGTCGTCCCTTCCACGTCTGCCACTCACCTGGCGCTGGTGAGTGGTAGTGTTGTAGCAGCTGGGACAGCGGCAGTGGTCGCGAAGCCACACCAGCGGCAGCAGCACGTCCTCCGCCGGCCAGCGCGGGTGCTGCACCACCAGGTGAGAGCCGTGCAGGTACAGCGTGACCGCGCTGTCATCTGTTGGCAGCCAACGAAACCTCAAAACGCCAGCAGACGAGCGCGGCTGCAGGAGCGCCGCTAGATCACGGCTGGGGGATGCAGCTACTCGGCTGGAGTGTTTATCATGGGTGCTTACAATATCATGAGGGAGGCCATGCTAATGACTAGCAAATCCTCAGCACATGCGTGAACAAGTAAGCAGTGATTAAGGGAACAGCATGGGGACACAAAAACGCAGGACAGTCCAGATTCACAGCCATTAATTAAATCATAAATCTGTGAGTCATCAATATCAGTAGGCCAACACATTCACGCGAATCCTCAAAGCCGATCAAAAGCCTCAAATCGGCGCCAAAGTCGCATGGTTTCAGCCCCTGCATCCATAAACTGGCAAGTGACTGTCCACAAGTCATAGGTCCACAGGACGTAATACGTGCATCCTATGCATCATGACACAGATTTGTGACATGAAGTTCTGGGAAGGTCTTGCCATTTGGTACAAGCACATTTCACTCATCTGAAATCACGCCACTCAACGAACCTTGAATTACATTTTTGTGAGCAGGACCGGCCGTTGTTCCCCTGCTGGAGGTCTTGGAGAACGATCTTGTATGTTTCGAGGAATAACAGGCTGAAATAATTGCAGTGCCTTCGCTGCGCGAAATCGCGCTCGCAGGTTCCAATAAAAGCCTATTCTTGTTCCGTTGCCGGCCAAACCCGGTCAGAAAACATCTACTCAAATATGACACCGACCTCGACAACATTATGCTTACTGCATGTACTGAAAGGACGGAACTAAGTGAATGCATCGATCATGCTACAGTAGTAAGCCCATCTCAAAGCGGTCCCTGTTTGAGGCCACTTATTTACTGCATGTGCTGAAACTGCGGAACTGAATTAAAACGTGCCGGCCGTGCTACAGCAGCAAGCCCATCGCGAAGCGCGGCACGACTTCAGATCCCCAAACTTCCGATCCCCGAACCTTGCACATCCCCGGCGACGGCTGGCTCACGGCGAACGCCCCACAGCAGCCCGACCAACGCGAAGCGTGCCACGTCCAGTCACCCGCGGCACTGGAGGCCTTCAACCGCCGACGCGTCGTGGCGTCACAGCACACCGCTGGTCGCTGCTGCCACCGGAGCCCCGCAGCACTGGCGGCCCACCGCCCGACGGCGCACCGTGGCGTCACAGCACACCGCTGGTCACAGCTGCCACCGGGGCCCCGCAAGAAAAAATAAACAAAAATAGTCCGGCGGCCAGCGACGCTCACCGCCGTTGCTCGGCGCCGGCCCGTCGCTCCCGCGCGACCGGGCGCCTCGCCCGGCACCGCACCGGCTTCGCCCAGCTTCGGTCTTGCCTCGCCGTGACTCGGCCTCGCTTCGCTGTGACACGGCCTTGCTCCGTCCTGCCTCGCCAGGTCTGTGGACACGTGCATGCGATGTAATTGTACGCCGTCTTGCTGGTGGGGTTCTTAGTGCTTTGAGCGTGCGGCGATAGACCAACATAGCGGAGAAAGTAGAGGTATAGAGCGGCTCACTGCTGCAGCGCAGCAGAAGGACCTGATTGGAAAGAAACGCAACTTAGTGACCGGGACTAATTCTTGCAAACCCTGCAATCTGCCGAACATGGGCCTGAGCTATTGTATGCCCTCAACGCCTGTCGACCGTATTGGTGTCAATATGTGCGAGCGGCGGACCGTTTCAACCTTGTAGCGGGTATTTCATACATCTTCTCACTTTACGCAAACTCGTTCCCAACCAAATTCCGATACGAATGAAAAGCCCACCGTGTGTGTTTTGTCGTGTATTGTGTTGTTAAGTGGCAGAATGCGGCAGAAAACTATTCAGTATCCTAAAGGAATTAATCCCAAATGCAAATCTTCATAGAGCTGATTTCGCATTGCTCGGACAAGCTCCAGGGTTACTTCTCGAGCGCTACCGTCCAAGTCGTGAGTGCTCGCTAACCATTTATTCCTTGTAGATGTGGTGTTACTATATTGTGATCATTGTGCTCTCTATAAATGAGCATGCCAGTCTACACGTTTGATGGCAGCATAAGTATCTTCAGCCGATGGCAGGAAAACCCGGTTGACAGGTGTTAAAAAACAGAAAAAAATTAACATCATACTAACTTGAAGCTAGCAACACTGGTGCTCCTACGCCTCCTCCGACTCGGTTTTTCAAAGTGCACGCACTCCGCATCCTACACTACACTCCTAATGACGCCAGCCCCAATGGGCCCTATTACTAATGCATCCTCAACAAAGACCGTACCCTTGTATTTGGTTAAGCGAATTCGTGTCTTACGGTTGCTGACCGAAGTTAGCGTACAGAGATGCGTCACCAGAGGGCAGTGGTTTCCGGCGCTCCCACTTTCAGATAGTGCATGTGAACAATGACGAGCATGAAACACGTTTCTGATTGATTGCCTTCTGCCATGTGCATTTTCGAACGTTGCAATCAGAGCCCCTATCCTCCTCAGTTATTTGCTACAAAGCTTGCCAGGGTCGGTAAATGTTGCATGCTGCTGCGGAGGGTCAGAATGGTGCCTACAACATAAATACGTTGTGAATTCTTTGGCATGCAAACAATTCATAAAATTTACCGAACAAGGAAAAAATGGTATGTCGCGGAGCAGCCTCCAAGCATGGGTCAGCGCGGCGGGTGTACACGTTTCATTTTGCACCTGAAGCACACGCTATTTTCGGACAGATGGGACTCAGACCCGTTGCAATCACCCTTGCAATCATGCGGCATTTTTAACAACAACGAAGATAATACAGTTCAGTTTTGCTGGCTGTGAAATTCAGTGGACTGCTTTTCACAAGCGGGACAGCTTAATTATTGTCCTGGTGAGTTCTCCTGGGGGCTGACAGAAGCAAGCTTGCTGTTTCCCGGTCTCGTAAATTGTGTTGCAAGTAACCAAAATAATGAAGTTGGTGCAGCTGATGGATCACAAGCTGGCTCGGTGCAGTTCTCGCAAAAATTCAAAACCAATCACAAAAAACAGTCTCAAACAATTTGCACGTGCTTTATAAATTCATGTAAAGAGTCAGTAAACACCGCCGAAGAGCAACGAACGCATGACATGACCGAGCCAGCATGGACAAGATGGTTGGGTGATCTGATGATGCATACATGCAGGCCGACAATCATGGACTTTTTCTTGGAGGAATGTTCAAATTACAAGGGGATGGAGACATAAGCCATATGCGGTATACTCGTCCAAAAGGACGTCGCGATTTTTTGACCACGATACTCTAACATGCAATATCATGGTGGAACTAAACACTTACTAGCGTTACAAGACAGCGATATGAAGGGGTATGAAGGGATCATCGCCCTCATCATTATCAGGATCGGGACAGCCATTGCGTGGTCAGATATAAAAATCAATGCAAGTCTAAAGGGAAGATTTATTCAAGTGATGCGCAGGTTTGTCCCTGTGGTTGTTGGTAAGAGCGCCTGACTTATGATCCACCCACCCGTGGCCAGGCAAGTGGCCTCACTTGAGGTTAGGGGATGCCAGAGGGCAGGACAGACCGCAACCAGTGTTCTGGCACATTAAACCTTGACCACCAAATTCTGTTACTGACCAAACATTTTGCAACTGGATGGTAATGGTCAGGGCTCACATAGCAAGAAATGCTTGGTGTGAGCTCTGATCTCAGAAATCCACCCATTCAAAAAGTTTACATTATTTTTTATAAAGAAAGTAGCAGAAGATCAACTTGCAAGTGAAGACAAGTGGTTGCCAGATATGAGAGACAGGGATTCAAGGTTTTAATTCCTCTTTCCAAGTCTGGGGAAGGCTGGGATACTGAAAATTGGTCGGAGCTTGGGCGCAATAATGTTGTGACCGCGCGCAGTAACGCTGTGACCGCGCGCAGTAATGGCGCTGGCGTCGCGGCTGCTGTGTGTTTGCGGCAGTCGGATGTTTGGTATCGTAATTAGTTAGGTTCCAAGGTAAGAGTATAGATGACCTGTTTTATGATTAATTATGATGTTTTCTGCCTTAAAAACAACGACTGATGTACAATGCTCTTTTGTAACATGAGGTAAGAAAAAACAACCTGACCTCATCCTGAAATGCATTCTGTAAGGCAGGAAATGGGTGTGGGTGTGCAAATGTGAGCAGAGGGTGTAGGTATATGGCCGCAGGCCACAGCATACAATGGATTCTGGAAGAGTTAAACGAGATAAACAAAAAAAGGTGATAGGTTGCGGACATGGCCGCCCGGAAGCATTCAAAACACAACTAATGGGCACACAACAATGGGTGTACGCCATGCCGACCTACCGCTCGGCGTAAACCACCCAGGGTAATAGATGCTGGCCACCACCTATCCCCGAGGCCACAAGCAGTTTCAACGGGGACTTGGGTTTCGATTATTACACAGTGCGAATGCCCAAAGCCAAGGCCATAAAACTACTCCCGAGGCGAATGATTCGCCTCCGAAGCATTTTTACATGCACGCATCATAAACGAACGACATGCGCCGTGACTGGCAAATATCAAGTACTTTAATACAAATCAATTTTTGGATTTGGCCTCACCTTTCTTGTTTGCTGTTCTTGATAAGCTACCAAATCGTTGTCGGCCTATGCGTTGTTTTTCGACCGTGGTTTGTCGACTACAATCACACCGCGGGGCTCAAGCGAAAATTTTGTGGGTATTGTGTTGGCGGGCGGTGGTCGTGTCAACCGGAGCGTGCCTGTGAGTAAATAATTGGTACGTATTTGGTGTGCTGAGCGCTATAAAGCACTAATGGTACAGTCCCATGACCAGCAAGGATTTCCGTGCATAACAGACGTCTGATGAATTGTAATTCCAAAATTGTGCTGGGTTGCGTCCACGGTTTTGTGAATTCTTAGCTCCATTTCTTACTCAGATGTGTTTTACTTTCCCCCAGGAGTTAAGCTGAATCCCTAGTCTAGCACGGCAATTTCCGTCAACAGAAAGTCATTCTGGTACCTGAAATAAGGCCAATTGTCCAAACTATTCAGCTGTTTTACATTGTTCTTATCAGTCTGATGGTTTTTCAAGCTGGGTCAGTATGGATAGTGACCCAAGAGGCCAATTTGTAGTAAGATGGTCTTTCAGTGTCCATGCAATGAAAGAAATGTTCCCATGATGTCCCTATTCACACAGCCATCAGGAGCACTGTATTCATATTATTACATTATAGTTGTGCAAAAACAAGGTTTGGACCTGTAACTACCCAACTACAGTAAGCTGCAATCAGCATGATTGTCTTAAGTTCAAGGAAGTGGGTGTATTATGCATTATGTGACCATCCATTTAAGGTTACATCTGTTGAATTGCTTACAACATTGCCAGTGTGATGTCGCATGTGAGCCAGTGTTTCAAGGAGTTGTGTTGTTGCGAGCAAGGTTATTGATAACCATGATGATTGTGTCTTGCAGTCACCAATAACCCTATATAATCTGACAAAAAATAACATTTAATTGCAAATAAGAGTGGGTATGCCAATGCAATCACTGTTCCATCTCAATTACATGTATGTCATGTTCAGCTGCTCTGTTGACCAATCAGTGATCAGCACCCAAATGACAAAGCTTAGAAATCTTGTCAGGGTTGCATCATGGGCACCCTCACATCATAAGACTGTCATTATTTTTGAAGGTGAGATAATATAATGCCTGTTTCTGATTATGAAGGGTATTCTGGTTGGTGACTTATATAGAAGTTTTTGTAAAGTGGCATATTTTGCAAGATAGTAGCTTGGAGCTGTTTTTCCAGCATTTGTATCAAAGCAAAATGATTCAGCCTGGTTAAGATTGAGTTAAAATTATAAAGTCAAATATAATCTCCCTGGATTTTGCCTACTTCTTAAAAAGTTGGGAGCTAAAGCATTTCAACTGATTAGGAAACTGGCCCCTGTTGTGCATGCTAGAATGCTTTTCACCTGCCTCTGCTTTGGTGAGCCCTAATCCCACAGCTGCCTTTGTCATCACTGGGGCTTTATGATGCACTTGGCTGCTGTGACCATGAGAGTCACTTGCATCTCACTCTGGGTGTAAGGGTGGGCA